GTGGAAAGAGCGGCGCTCCCCCCTCTCCTCTCCGACCGTACTTCTCCCTCGTAGATGCTGAACGTGAGCCGTATCGTGTTCTTACGACGACGTGCACGCCCGCGCATACCCGCGACGTCGTCTTCGTGGTGCCTGCCGCACGGCAGCTTGCGCCGCACCGCCGCCGTCATGGCAACTAGAGGATCATCGGTTACCGCTCGGCAGTCGGACTATTAACCCCGCGGCCCGTCGGAATATTACACGTGAGTATGTTTATTACGCGACCACGTTTGCCTGTTCTTTCGTCTTTCTCTTGCCACGCGCGCCAAACGGCCTAAACGAGGCCTGGCATCGTGCTTTTTTTCCCTCCGCTGCGTCCGTCGCGCCTGTATTCGAACGCGTCCCTCTTCACCCTTGCCGTGCTTCCGGCTGGGGTGTCGTTACTCTCCCCGTTGCCATCGTTCATCGGGGACCTCCTGCCGGTTGCTTCTCGCATACCTCGCACGTTCTCGCTTGAACCGATAGTTTATAACGACCGCCTATTGATTGTGCAGGGTCAAAGGCAATACATCAATGGCCCTAGAATCAAATGGCAACAACGTGGTGTGGTTGAACACAACCCGTCCTGATCAAATACAGCAGGTATGCGTCGCGCGTGAGGCAAGCGAGGAAGTGTACGTTTGCGAACACACAATGATCGACTGCTGATCATGTCTCATTTTCAAGTATTCAGTATCTAACTTGTGACTCTCGTGTTTAAGAGAATAAGATACCTATAGGTAGTAATAATTTTTCATACAATTGATACATCTTCTATCGGAGCGCCTGACGCACCTTTCTGATCAACAGAGTCAACCAATCGAGCAGCCATTGAAGTGTTCCATGTTTACTCAAACGGAGCAAACTAATAGTTTTACCCAGACAGAACAGAGCAATTCGAGTTACGGAGACCAGAGACAGGTACATTCATTATCTTGTGATAAATGAAAAAGAAAAAACTCAAGTTCCTCCTCTCTAATCATATTAAATGATTTGTTTTTACAGCAGCAAACAGCAATGTTTGACCCACAGCAGATTCAGCAGCAACAAGCTGCTGCGCAGGGTCAGCAGTCGCAGCAGCAGCAGCAGACTCAGCAGATGTATGTCACATCGGACAAGAAGGAGGACAAGTCTCAGCAGCAGCAACAGACTACTACTACCGAGTTTCCTCCCTCCTTCTATTACAACGTCAACATGTTGCAGAAGGTTCAGACAAATGCGGTGAGCACAATCAGTGCAATCACCGATGACAAGGGTTGTTACCGTTTCGATGTTCAACCTGTTGGTTATAATACATTGCTAAACCAGATGAGTATTGCCGCTGCGACCGCAAATGCAACGTTCAAGTGTGAGATTTGTGGCCTGGTCTTCGGTCATATGAGCTTGCTGCAGCATCATAAGCGAATTCATACCTCGACGCCCAGCAATTTGCAGCAGCAGCCACAGCAGATTGTGGTACAAACGCCGACAACAGTGACTGTCGCCACCACACCAGAAAGACCATATACTTGTGACGTTTGTGGAGCGTGTTTTGCATTACCGGGAGAATTAAAAAGTCACAAAACAAATATGCATCAGAAACCAAAGGTGCAAATTTGTGAAGATTGTGGCAGTGAGGACCCATGCGAACATCATCCAACTAAAGTTAAAAAGAGTATGTCCACATCAATTAATTTCAGCTATAGTGTCAATTTCATGGTGATATTGTTTTCGGTAGTAATGCAAAAAAGTGCAATTATCTTATAGCATTAAAAATTTTTTTAATTTTCATTTGAATTCACATTGGAAACTATATAGATTCTCATATAAAATATTATGTACTGTAATTCTTATACAATGTAGAAATCATGATCGCTGTTTTTATCCAGGGTAAAAAATTATGTTTTAAACATGTTTTTTTATGATATTGTTTAAAGCATGTATGAAACATTAAAAACATGCCTTAAAAAATATTTTTTGCCAACTCTGTTTTTATCAATAAAATCGCTATTTTTAATACCATTAAAATCAATTATTAAGTTCAGATTGATGTTAGGTAAGATTATTCGCGGATTTTTAGCTGTAACACAAATTATCCCACTGTGATACCGCCATAAGATATATGAAATTTGTTTAACGAAATATGCATTTGTTTGTGTAGCTATCAAACCTGGTCATCATCCTGTGAAACGAAGGGGTGTTACTAGTGTCACCAAATGTCACAAGTGCAATGGCACCGGGATTATTTTTATAGGTAAGCATCATTTGTTAGTTTTCGACCGCTAATTGGATGTCACTTAATACCCTTGATAAGCCGAAGAAAGATGTTGCTGATAAAACGTTTTGAAAGCGTCCAAAGTTTATGTTTCAAATTTTATGTTAATATAAACGTTCTCACAAGGGAGATTGCGTATTATATCCCAATATCAGCGACATTTTATTCAAATATTTCGTCATCCTTTTCCCTTCATACTTTTCATTGCTATCATGATCGTACATCGGGTGATATATGGTAGGTAAACACGACGAAAAACTAGATTCCGGAATCAGTTCCCTCGCAAAGTGTGGCGGCTGCAAGGCTACAGGCCGCATCGTCATAGGAAGTAAGTCGGATATAATTATCGTCAATACAGAGTATGGGATCTGTTTTGCGATTAGTATGTCTGAGTAATATTGTGTCTGTCTTGGATGGTGACAGTTCAAATTTATTTTTCGTGATCACTTCGGTATTTACAGTTTTTATTGATGTTTGAGTCAACAGTGCGCCAACACATAATTTCTATAGAATATTGAATTTTATTATAAAGAAATATATTGAATTATAACTTCTTTGATTATTACTTAGTTTCATGAACTCTGAAAAAAACTCAATATTTCAAATTCAATTTATAACAATTAATAAGCTTCTAAAACATTTGTTAAAAATACTCGACGAAATTTGGAGTAGTTTAATAAATACATCGAATGTTTATCAATAAATTTAAATTGATATCTTTAAACGTTGGATTTTTGATATTGTTTTTATTTAACGTCACTTTATTTTTGCTTGCATGTGTTCTTGTAGATGGAATACACATTTCTGTTATTTTTCTTATTTTGTTCGTTTTGTTACTTAATATTCTTTCTATCTCAATTCTTACAAAGTGATTGTGATTATTTTATTTTGCTGTTATTTTCTTTTTCTTGTTAGTAGAACTGTCGACATCTAAATTTAAGAACAATGGCACAGAATAAAAATCTCCCCTAAGGGACAGTTTTATAAATTATAAAATCGCCAAATTTTTTAATGTTTTCTATACATAAGATGAACTTATTAAATTTCCGTTCGGCTGTTTATCATTCTTTCAATTTATTTCGCGATATAGCTCATTGGAGATGATTTCATCATTTTTCATAGAGTAAATTGCGTAATAATCAAAATCGCAAAGTTTCATATTGTTTGTGGCGTTCAGATTTTCTTAGTGCACTAACTTTTATAACAACCTGCATGATCAGATTGTTTCATATAATAATCTTTACATTTAATCATTCATTTTGTAATTTCATATTCCATGTCCATTCATATTCCATTTCTTGAATATAAGAACAAAAATTTAAACATTAGTATCACGAACTCATATCGCATAGATTCATAGATTCCTCGCGGAACAACTTCGAGCTTATCACTTTTGTAGAACTGGCCCTTTGAGGAAAACTAAAGCTTTGTTTACGCTTTCAATTTCAGGTGGCAAGCAAAACAGTCAAAATCAAGCGGAAAAACCATTTCATTGTAACGTTTGTGATGGTACATTTTCTCGATATTCTTCACTCTGGTCTCATAAAAGACTTCATTCGGGAGACAAACCATTCAAATGTGAAGTCTGCGGCTTAGCCTTTGCTAAGGGTAAGTAAAGAATTAAATTAATTAATTAAACATAAGATAATGATGTATGATCTTTTCTACATATACTAACTAAAGATTATATAAGCTTATTTTTTAGTACAAATTTTGATTTCTTTCTCTTTATAGCTGCTTATTTAAAGAATCATGGAAGAGTTCATACCGGTGAAAAACCGTTCAAATGCAACGTTTGCGGCATGCAGTTTTCGCAAAGCCCGCACTTAAAGAATCACGAACGAATTCATTCCGGCGAGCGACCCTATCAATGCGAGGTTTGCGAAAAGACGTTTGCCAGACATTCAACGCTCTGGAATCATAGAAGAATTCACACCGGTGAAAAGCCATATAGGTGTAATATCTGCGGTTCCGCCTTCAATCAAGCTACGCATCTCAAGAACCATGCAAAAGTCCATACCGGTGAAAAACCGCATAGGTAACTTTAACACCTAAAGATCTGGTTGTCGAAGTGCGTGTTTGTTCCGCGTACATGAAATCTCTTGTGTTTTTAGGTGCGATATATGCGAGATTGGCTTTTCCGATCGTTTTGCGCTGAAGCGTCACCGTGCGATCCACGAGAAATACGGCCAGACGGCACGAAACCAAAATGCGAATAACGCAGCAAACGCACAACAGGCCAATGCGAGTAATCAGCAGCAGCAGTCGCAGCAGCAGCAACAGCCGCAGCAGGCGCAGCAAGGCCAGGTTGTGGTCGTGAATGCGACTACTCCTGTTACTGTCAGCCAAGGGCAAGGCCAAGTTATACTCGACGAGGTCTACAAGTGTCAGGTGGCCTTCCCAGAGCCTAAATGATTCAGCTAGAGAATACCTTTCAGGAGTTGGTAAAGAGGTTAACTTTTTTAACCTTTTTTTTTTAATATTAATCTCGAGAACGGCAAAATCCATGGATATATGATATAAAAAATAATGGATTTTACTCTGAAAGAGTAAAGTGAATCCTGCACGAGTGACTGTGAACAGCGCATCTCTTTTTTTGTGTATGTGCGGCCACTCGAATTTCGTGGAAGAATATTTGGTGACTCGATAGATTCGATTTAGATATGGATAAAGATTCAAGGGAAAAAACGAAAAAAAAAATATGGACGGAGAGACTGCATGAAGTTTGTGCGAGTGACAAATTTCGTGGAATGTATCCTCGGAAATTTAATTCGTAATATACAATTGGACGATTTTCAACCGCCAACATCAACGAAGTCTTTTTGTGAAGTAATAGAGAAATATGTCTACCTTTATATTTTGCCATTCGGAAAGGTGGAAAAAACAATTAAACCGTATCGCGGCATACATTTCGTATATATTAGTTTTCTAAAATAAAACGGAAAATGTAATTGTAATCGTATCATTCTTTCATACATGTATAATAATCGTTAATTTGTCCACGAGAACAAAATTGCTATACGTCTTGCCAGTATTTCATGATTTCATGAATGGCATTGTGCAATAGTTCCGACAAATTTTGCGATTAACCCGACAAAGTGTACTTTCGAATGATTGTAACAACGGAGGATTGCGACGGCGTGTGTTTCGGTAATGAAAAGCGCAAGTATAAGGTATCGAATATTTTTCTCCCTTTTTTTAGCAAATTTAAATTGTATGATGAAAAATGCCCAAACCTCGGCCCTCCGATTTTTCTCGACATCATCATGAGGATGGATTGTGTGTTTTTCGATGTTTAAAATAGATTAATAAGATCAATAAGGTTTAAAATATCTATTTAATTTCGACCGTATAAATTATTTATCTGACAAATGACATTCGCGCTAGTGAGCACGTAGTTAACAAGAATTCTGTACTGTCTCGGGAAATTTTGTACTTGCGGATAGCGTGGAACGGAACGACATCGCGATTTGTGCGAGCTCTCTTCCGTCCAGTCATTCGAGATCAGAAAGCATTGCATCACTGACGATGACGACAACGATCATGATGAAAAACTGCGAAGTAGTGCGGCATACCTATGTAACTCGTTGGGGCTGCAATAATAATAGTAAATATTGACGGGCAAACTAAACCGTTTTATAATTTTAAGAGGCCGCGAACGATATGAATATATTATAACTGATGAATAGTTGCTAGTTTGTAACAAGTAGCAAAGCTAGATTATATACATATAAATATATATATATACATTAATTTTTATATCCCCACTTGTTAAAGCGATCCCGCACTGTCGCTACTTTTAAGTATCAATGATCACCAAACGAATAGATTATATTGATAGCTTCACACATTCATGATTGGTGACTTGTGTGCTATACCACTTTCAATCTCACTTTCAAAGTTATTATTTGGATATTTTCCTGAGAGTGCTTTTGCAGTTGTTATGCAGTTTCAAACGCAAATGTTTCCTTTTACTTATTTTTTTGCAAACTCGTCACTAATAAAAAAAACTCATGGAAATGTTTCCCTCCGGTTTCGATGAACTTTAAATATGTTTTCAAGATAAAAATAAGGGACACATATTTTTTTGTAAGGAAGAAAGTGAAGAAAATCGGTTATTTTTTTCCTTTCAAAGTGAGAGAGAGAATATCGTTGAAACTAGGAATCCACCGGATCGTAAAATTATCGGTTATCCGGGAAGGCAATTTTTCGAATCGGTATTTGACCGGATTCCGGGACAATGTAAAAAAAAACTCAATGAAACAAGAAAAAAGGGAGCAAAAAGGACTATTAATAGAGATAATAACTGTAGAAAAAATTGTAATTTTGCAACAATATATAAGATAATATAGAACATTCATATAATAAAAAATCAATAACTTAATAATACAAAATTTCAACCGGATATATTTCAGAATATTAATGATACCCGACTATCCGGTCAGATAATAAAAAAAGTTTTGATAATACCGAATACCGAATACTTTTTTAGGTGCATCCCTAGTTGAAACTGTAAGAAATAGAAAAAAATATTCCGAATGAAAGTTGAATGCTTAAAAGCTAAAAAGTACTTTATAATTTATAAAAAAATATATATATCCTTTTTTTGTTTAAGAAGTAACATATTCAAAGCTTATCAAAATGTCTCGGAAGGAAACACTTCCATGGATTCTCTTGTGAGTTATTTTCGAACATCCTCTCTCTTTTGGGGATAATTTTAAAAGATTTTATAATTGCAAAGAAGATATAAGCGGTTTAAGGGTGTCCAAGATAATTATTTTACATGAAACTGATTTATTATGTATTCGCGGAAGTTTTACAAGACAGTCTACGTGATTATCAATAAATTCGCCATTCGACTGATACGGAATCTGGAATTGGGGATATTTCTTTGTTTTATTAATTAACTTGTAAAATAAAGGTACGCAATTACATATTTTTTCTTTTATATAATAGTAATACCTGTTACAGTATTTTCGATTAGATTAGAAACTTTATGCTGAATTTCCTATTCTCGTTTTCGGTTTTTCGGGATTAAAGCTAGAAATAGAGCTGTCTAAGCCGTGACTCACGTGCAATTAATTTTATAGTTCATTTATCACCACTTTGTGTCGCAACTTTGCCGCGCTTGTAACTTTTGCGAATTGTACGGTAAAACGGTCTTAGCTACGTAATGATTTAGATAAGCTCCAGTAAATACGGTCAAAGACGAAGAAACTAGTGGTGATACATGTGCTCGAAACTCCAAACTGTCGGGAGTCACAGATTAGATATACCTAAGTTAAAATAAATGAATCACAGTCAGCACATAATGCAACATCGTAAGTTTATCGCGAAACGGCAATATTTTGTTCTCTCTTTCTGTACTGCGAAAAAAAAGAAAAAGATTTTCCATTTCAAGCCGATGCATGAACCTATTTTCTACGTTGATTATGAGGATGTAAAACAAAATAAAGATAATCTTCGATTTTAACATTTAGTACATTTTGCACAGGGACGATGTTTCTTTTTTTCTTTTCTTTTTTTTTTTAATATTTGTTCAGAGAGAACCCATCCCGATAAATAATTTCATCGAAATGAGAACGCAATACTTCAGTATTCTATATATTTGCTAGAATAGGCGCAAATAATTCAATCGTTTCACTGCAAACAGTATTGTTACAGTTGTCACGCTTCTTTCCGAGGTGGTACACATCGAATAAACGAACAACGAAGTTGTGGAATCGAAGTAACTTTCAACGTGTCGAAATAATTCTGAGTGATTCGAATCGGACGTTGATGGAATCATTTTGATGGAACATAATGTATGTACATACATTTGGCGTCTCGTACATAATTTCCAAAATTTTGAAGAATTCGTTATTTCGTTCATTCGTTGCGCACACATTCATTCCCGCGAATGATTTATGACTTAAAAAACAGTAACGCAGAAGGGTGACAATAAAGCGATACTCGTATATTTCACAATCATGTCCTTGTCTTGTAAGATTAGGAGAAAATGCGTAGTATTGGCAAACACAAACAGGCTTAGCCATTAAATCAGGCGAGGCTAATTGTTTTTCAACCTCAAATCTCTGTGGTTCTGTCATTCGGTGCGATCAGTGAAAGAAATTATTTTAGTCCATTGTTTATGTTTGTTTTCTCTATGCGACGGTCGAAAGTTAATCGAACAAAATTATTTTACGACAATTGACATTGTGGACGCTTAAAATTTTTTTATTTTACTTTGTCTATTATCTTCCGTTATTTTCTCTTAAATGAATTTTGCAGACTCTGCTTCAGATTCGAGATATATTCGACAATATTTATATAAAACGCACATTAATATATAATTATATGAGTATGAATTAAGTTTACTTTGCAACAGTTTTATTGCGTTGTTTTGACTATGATTGAACATTTGTGCCTGGAAGAACAATTGTGTGTATCTACATTCACCCGCAGAGACGGATTAAAATTGTGAGGGCTACGATTGAAAATATTTCAAAATCGAATAAGGAGGGCTCTAATCATCGTCGCAGAATAACATGATGTAAAAGAAAGTATACAGAATAAGAATCACAACACGACAATGTGAACAATATTCTCGACACGATGCGATCTTTAATTATTAATATTCACGTGAAATTTATTTTTTTTAGGGAAAAGTCTCTATTTTGATTATATCGCTAATATCGAAACTGTGATCAGATGGTCAAATTTACGGTAGTACGTGGCTTAAATAAGCGTCCTCTCTCATCAAAACTTAAGACAAATACTATAAAAACCGTTCACGAGCGAATACTTTGTGTTGACGATTGCGCGGACGAAATCTTTTGTCGATGATACTTTTGTACACTTATATCTGCGTCGAAAAAAAAAACTTCTAATACAGGCATCGAGGACAATTGTGGAAATCACAAAATGACCAGAGTGAAGTGTATGAATGTAATTAGATACGAATTGTTAGACGCGACTCGGTAATTCTAAGTAATTCTAACTTGTCAAGAATTGTTGCTGCAGATACGGCGCTGCGTCTCAGAATTCGTTATTATTTTGTTATTCGTTATCACGTTAACCGCGTTAATCTATTTTTCTATTTTATTTCAGTCTTACATTCGCACGTTTGGATTGCGATTACGGGGCGCGGCGGAATAATCTTTCACGCGTGGAGAGAAGCGATTTTGAAGCGGTGTGTCTTCCCGCAGCAATTCCATGCTTCGAGATAATATTTCGTAGGCGAGAAACTCAGAGCTTCCGTGTGAATCAAAATCGTCTGGAAGCGTCTTCCTTAATCTCAGTATACTGAGTTTGCAGAGATTTCGCGATTTCGTTTGTACATACGTCCACGAAACGAAGACTCATGACCAAGAGATATCGGAGATATTTTTTCATCGCCATTCTCGTGCATCTATCGAATATAATTCTAAGAGCCGTCGAGCGTATCAAACAAACGAGCGGTTCGACGAGGAACAGCTATAATTTTGCATTGTTAAGGGTCGAGGTTGCGGAGCAATGATTACGAAAGTTTATTGTTTTTCTGACAATGTCGTTTGACTTGCGTTCCCCGGAAAAATATCACACATACGGATCCCCGAAATCCCTTTAAACATAACGTTCGACCCTTCCAGCGTGGAACTCTTTAAAGGCCTGAGAGAAAACGTCAATCGTTTTGCGCGCTTGCTGTAATTTTGTATTTACG